ACTCATAAAATGATAATAGCTGGTTAGGTCTGGAATACGGAAGAAATCTGACTCACAGAATGAGAATGGCTGCTTAAGTCCTATGTATATAGGGTTGGATATGAATGACTCAATGAATGAAAATGGCTGGTTGAGTCCGATGTTTGTGTCCAAGTGGAATACAGAACAAATCCGACTAAGTGAATGAAAATGGCTGGTTAAATCGAATGTTTGTGTCAAAGTGGGATACAGAACAAATCCGACTCAATGAATTAGAATGGCTGGCTAGGTCCACTGTATAGTTAGTTTAGTTTAGTTTATTTGTTTTGCCATCATTTACATAATATTTGAAAAAAAAATAGAAAATAAAAAATAAATTACAGTTAAGTACACAATGACAACGGAAAGTGAAGCATAAGGCGAGGAGACCTGAAGAAAATCCATAGGGGCGTATACGAGCTACAGGCTCGTAAAAAATGCACCTTTGAAATAACATTTAGAGGTCATCAATAAAGATTGTAAATACTTCAGGTAAAAAAGTTAATCAAGCACAGGACAAGCAGACTTACATTTAAGCAGCACGTACAAAACAGAACAAGGCAACGCCGGGGAAGTCAAAGTAGAAGAGGTTCGAAGTTTGGCCGTAAAAAGAAAAGGTACTAGCATTTTGAATTTCTGTGTCGGCAGGGCTCGACTATCAGAAAAAAACCTTGGTGCCAGCTGGTCCCTAAGTTTTCAGATCTGGTCTCCAGCACAAGTAGTTTAGTCGCCAAAAATTTTCGGCCCTTCGCGCAGTTTATATATTTCCACGAAAAAGAAGGTGAAATGGCGCAAATCACGTATTTTTCATGTATAACCAGTTTGTGACCCTTTTACTAAATTAGAAGGGAAATTGGCTTCGTAAACTGGCGCTAAAAGAAAGTAAACAAATTTAACATCATGCGCAGGCTTTTCGTGTTCACTGATGAATGCGTTTTTTTATAGTTGAATTTATTAAATCTCTTTGGGTAACATGGGAACATCAAATGCAGTGCAGATTCCTTTAAAATTTTACATGTCAGAATAACCCGCTACGGATTTCTTTTATCGACTAAGTATTCCCTCGATTAATAAATCTTTTGTGTGAGCCAAAAAATCAGAGCGTTTAAATCAGGGATTCCAAAATACTTACAAATTTTAAATGCTGTCTAATTCACTATTTTTGATTGTCTGAAAATCTCCTTCAAGGCACTTCTCGACTCTGCAAATTCGTTTTCAATAAACATGAGTTCTCTAGACCAATAAGAGGAAGAAATGAGATGAAAATCCCACTCTGAACACTGTGATTGTCCATAAAAAGGATCAAAATAAACTTTGATCGACATCAACATGTGAAACTTCATTCAAAAGATGATAAACTGGCGATGCGAGCTTTGCTTGTCGCCGTTCGCCTGTTTCTCCCTTGCTTTCTTAGGTCACGTGCCCCAGGTATGGTATTCCTTTAGTGTGGAGTTTAGAAAGGAATTTTCGATCCTTCGTTCTAAAAATAAGTGAAAATTTTTATGGCCTGCTATTCCACGCCTCAGGCTCCGCGCTTAGTGGTGAATAGCGCCCGAGACGCTCCGCGTCTCGGGGCTATTCAACACTGACTATTCGCTTTGCCTTCGCCTTTTCTAGCCAGATTAGAAAGGTGTGGTTTCCAAGTAAAATCCAGAATTACACCTAAAAACAGTCTCTTTTGCTAGGTCAATGGCAGATTGGCCAATCTTTAGCCTAATGTCAAGAGTTTCCCCTTTTCGTCTTGGTTTGAATGCCATAAAATAAGACTTTTTTTAAAAAAAAGTTGATGTTCAGCATATTCAGAAACTGACGATTTTGATAATGGCAAGTGAATACCTCCCAGAAAACACTCGTTCTAAGATGAAGAGACGCTGAAGCGGAGAAATCCAGGCGGGAAAATTTCCCTTACAATTATAAGATAGAAAAAAAAGAAACGTTTCTCTCAAACAACAGTCAATTTAATGTTTGATGACTTTGACGAGTTTTTATCTAAAGGACTCAATACATAAACGTAACGTGTTCACTGGCACTAGTACTCTGCTTGGTTCAAAATCATATTCGCTCGCTCCAGCAAAGCTCTAAAAATCACTAAATAAATGGTCCTTTATTAATTACACCATTTATAAGCAGAAACGTACTTCACATTGTTAATTTGTTTTGTTGGAATGCCATGACAAGGCAAATAAAGATAAAATTCTTCCTGACAAAGTCTCTAACTGAACTTTAAACGTAAGTTATGATCACTGCCAGACGGTCTTACACTTTCTTCGAGGCCAAATCGTGGGCAAGGAAACATCACACTGGCTGGTGTACTGAAGCCCGAAGTTGACAGGGACTCAAACGGCGTGCTTGCAAAAGTTTGATTACAGTTAGCAAGAAATAATATTTTAGAGCGCAAGAAATATCCCGAGTTTCTTCTACAGAGCCGAGAGCGATCCAAGTCTTAAAAATCGTTGAAGACTTCGATTACTATAGAACTCTCCTGGTCTTCTAATCAATTACTTTTAATTGTCTGATAAATAATTAACCGCATGAAGGAGACCTTTTGTATCATTGGTCTTGCGCTTTCTCTGGGTCGGAATCATAGTTAAAACGTTCGCAATCAGGTTGTGAATAGAAACAGCGATGGTGAGCTGACATTTCTTTGACAAGACCATTAAGCTTGTGCAAGGTCCTGCTTTCTTGAGACGAACTGCTTGCAACACAATAACGTAAATTGCGATATCTAAAAACTAAACTCCGAAATTTTTTGTGCAAAAACCTCCAAGCTTGGTCTCTCTGACGCCCTCTCTTTAGTTAGATCCTTTACCAATTCCCCACTACACAGGATATCGCCTTGAGCATTCGTCCCAATGAATAAATGTCACTGGCAACGCTGTATCGCCGTTCACTTCTAACCTCTGGGGCCAAATATCGTTTCGTACTGCATTCAGTTCCGTTGCCTTTTCTGTAAGCCTGAACTGATGATGCCTTAATGCTCTTTCCAAAATCAATGACAACCGGGTTTAATTCCTCGGAGACTGAGATTCGTTCGAGAACTACATTGTCTGCTTTAAGGTCATTGTGGAGGTAGCCTTTTGAATGTATATGGTACAAAGCGGAGCATCTCTTTTGAAATACAGCTAGACAGCTTGCTGGATTAAGAATGTCGGCAGCGACCGCATGATGGAGGGTTGTACTTTGTTCCTTAACCCCGTGAAATTGCATAACAAGACCCAATGGTAAACTTTTGGTTACCACACCGAAAATCATTGGCAGATTTGGGTGGTCTCCCAAAGCAGAAATTACTTTTGCTTCATGAAGTAAATTCCTTCTTGCTCGTTCTTGATCCTCTATGGTCTCGTTGTGAATCATTTTCTTTACTATTACTTCGATATTTCGATAACGCCCGCGAAAACATTGTCCAAAAGTTCCACAACCGACTGGATTTTCAGAAAAGTACTCCAAATGTTGCAGCCTTAGTTCTTTGGGCTCAATTTTGGAGTCCGTGTTTACTCCAGCTTGCATAAGGATTAATTTTTGATGAGGTTTCTGTTTGTACGTGACAAGTTGTTCCGTACCAAGCGCCATATGAACCATCTTTGCACCTCTTGAGCAAGCCATGCCTTTCCTTTTCGCCTCACCGCTGCTGTTGTGCGGTTATTGTTGTTGGTATACGAATTGAAGATGTGAAATTTGCCATTTTCTGCCGTTGTTGTTTCTTTCTCCATTCTCGTCTCTGTCTTGTTCTTTCTTCTGGTGTGTTTTTACGTGAAGTAATGACCCTTTTAGTCAAGTGTCCATGTTCAAAATCATTAGAGGATTCCGCCATTATAACTGATCTATTTCTTCCAAAATTAACTGGCTTCAAACGATGATATCTTTCTCACAGATCACGGTCTTTATGTACGGATTATAACACCTCGATGGGACTAAGACAGCACATACAGTGAACGCATTGTGCAATCAATTCCCACCAAAGAACTGTTTTTGGTAAGGACGTCTTGGTGACTCTGTACAAATCTAAGTTTTTGTAGCAAACAAGTATTGGAGCAATCATCCAACAACCTCATTTACACATGCCTGGTCAAAAGAATGAAGCATTTTGTAACACAATCAGTGTACTTTTTGATGACATCATTTTTCTAGCGGGCTTTGTGGTCTCGCGAACGCTACACTCGCGCGTGACCCTACTCTAATGACAGCATAAGGTTTCAAAAAAGACCTCTATGTTTGAATCTGTTTGCAATAGTCGGAAAAATAGGCCATTTTTTTGAGACACAAACGCGCGCCGGCTCGATATAGGAGCCAGTTCAGAGGTGCTTCCATTGCGAAATATGCAAATTTTACGTCCGGTGCGGTACCAAATTCTAACACCATCACTTGTCAAGCGGGGAGAAAACTGAGCTTGAATACTTGTCTATTGAAATTTTCAGCAGCGAGCGAGGACGCGCCGATTTCTGTCTCTCGTGTTCTGTCTTTGTGTTAACCGAATTATTAAGTTTTTTACGTTAAAGTACAGAGTGTTTTGAAAATTGTTATTACCACGGGCTCAATGTAAGTGAAACCGCACTGTTAGAGCATTTTGGCGGTCAGCATCGTTTTATTTTGATGGCGGACCGAACGAGCAATATTCCTCAGGTTTTATTTTCTGACACGGAAAGTGAAGAGGAATTTGAAGGATTCACTGCGCGAGATGCAAGACCTTATGTGGAGATTGCAGTCAAGGCTCCCTTATTTTGCTCAACACCAGCACCAAAGGCAAAACGGGCTCGCGTTGAAAGAGAAAACCATTGGTCGACCTCATCAGACGATGATCCAGGCATATCTCCCATTAAACTGTTGCCAACGACAAGAACGTGTTCAAGAGCTTCTTCGACTGCTTCAGTGGAAGGAGAACTTGCTCCGCAATGTAAATCGATTTAGTATGACAAGGTTGCTACGCTTTTTCAAGTCTCTGAAAATAGAAACGAGAGCTCAAGCAGCCTAGAGGGGGAAATCTACTTTGCAAGTGAAATGGAGCGAGAGAAAACACAGCAACAAAGCAGCTTTACTGAAAATTTCGCCCGCTGTTCCCATGGGTCAGAAAGAGAAGTAATCGAACACGAAACCCCAGATGGGGTCCTGAATGTGGCTTCTCGGAAAAGAGGTAAGCTAACTTTGTAATTGAATATATATGAAGCAAAAGGAGAGGCGTTATATATTCCTGTTTATGAAGCTAGGTCTAAAATGTGCTAAATGGCTGGTGTTCTGCAATTCTCTCAGAGTTGTAATGTGTAACTGTAAATGTACTATGAAGGCGTCATAATTCAAGAGCAAAATTTTTATTTCAGAAAGGTGATTAGTCCTCTTTAATCATAAGTAGCAACGAATAAAAGAATAAAAATACAGAATAAAAGTGAGTTGTATATTCGAACTTTTCTGCATGAAAAAGCTACATACTAGGAAAAAGAGTAAATATTTATATGGTCACTTATGTAAAAGAAAACCCGAGCAAAGGAAATTTAATCACCTGAAATGGCAATCCCCCAAATGGTCATATGATGGGAGATTTGAACGGCTAGTAATCGACTTTACTCATATACGTCCGTAAAAAAAATTAATTAAAACGATTCCGTATTGGCAAAACACCAGGCCTGGAACATCAATAGTACTAGTTTAGTAGTAGAAATTCTGCTGAGGGGAAGGCAAGTATTCCAATGTTTGTCCACGAAACAATTATGTTTGGGCAGGTTCCATACATAGTACCCTGGGTGCCAGAGGGTTTTGTGAAGGTGGGATTGTGAGCGGAGCGAGATCGCGGCTTCAGCGCTGACAATATTCCCCGAGTAAATATAAAAAAAATTTCTTTCTTTTATTACACTTTCTGTCATAGGCAAACATCGGTCCTCTATTGTTTCACCTGAACAACTACTTGAAGAAAATTGTTGTACCAAAAGGAGATGTCTACAGAAGCTGCTATCAATCAGCCAAATGAGACGAGCACGGGAAAACTTCTGCCAGGAACACAGCAATTACGAAAAACAAAGAAAGTTTATTTTAAATTGGTTTGACAACAATCAGCCTTCCAGCGGAGAGTTTGCGTATACCATCAGTGGAATCAATGTGTGCTGGAGTGCTTGGACAAAGGTTCTTGGGATTACACGAAGAAGGTTTTTTGAACTGAAACGAGACTTCCTTCTTGGACGGCGTAACGCACAACATGGTGCGTCTTTAACGTCAAGAGAAGCGCCACATAGAGAGGCCGTGCTTAATTTCCTGGACAGGTATTTCACGGAAAATTGCAACTATATGCCGAATTCTAGTGTGCGGCATTTGACATCGTCAAGCCGTAAAGCTGGTGTGTTTCAGGAGTTTACAGAACACATGGAATCGACCAACCAGCCGGTATGCAGCGAGACCTTTTTCCGAAAACTATGGAATGAAAGTTACTCTCATGTAAAGATTCCTAAGGTAAGGCTGTGTCCTGCTGTACTTTCTTTCCAAAATCTTGGCCACTCACCCACGAAATTTCCTGTTCAAAATCCATTCGTCTTGTTTTACACAATAGGTACAATACCTTTTTCTTACTATAACGCGTTCAAAAGTTCCGTTGTTTTCTCTTTCTCCTCCCTCTCTTTCTTTTATTTATTCATTCTTTCATTCCTGATTTTTAAATCCATCCATCTTCCCGTCTAGGAGAACCGTTTCAGTAAGTGCGATACATGTTGTAACCTCAAAGAAGAATTGAGGGGCACGACAAATCCAACAATGAAAGCAGCACTTGAGGACAGAAGAAAGAACCACATTGCTTGGGTCAGGTAGGAAAGTGACTTCAGTAGCTATCAGTAGCTATCAAATCAACGTGTGCTTCATCAAACATTAATAGGAACGTTTCATGATTGCTTCATTTTCCTACAACTTCCAGAAATTTTTTTTCCAGTTTTCTTTCTAATTCAAATCTGGAAACGATGAATTCCTTTCAGGCTTTAAAAGGCAAGTTACGAAGTAATGCTTTGTAAACTTGGCTTTCAAAATAGCATTTGGGAATAGTTATACTTTCAAATATAGTGCGGGCAATTGCGGAATTTCATTGGTCGAGCATGGTTGTCAGAGGAAAACTGGTTCGGCTTTGCCTCGATCTAAGTCGGTCTATTTCTTACTTCTTCTGTACACCTAAAATTTAAGAAAGGCGAAAATTTTGGACAAGCATGGAAGTTTAGTGTTTATACCATATAATATACTTTTCAGAGAGGAAAGGAAAGCCTATTTAAACTGCGCGTCACGGGCTCACCATCAGCCGAACGAATTGTTTTCTGTGGCCATCGATGGGATGGACACCAACAAAACAGAACTTCCCTTTTCTAAGGTCAGATATGGCACTACCCAGAAAGCGTGGCATCTTCGAGTTCATCTGGTGGGTGTTCTTATCCATGGAAGGCACCCAATATGCTTTTTGGACTACCACCAGTTCCCCCATGATTCAAATTTGATGATAAATACGCTTTTGCAGGTAAATTACAACATGGTGTTTAACCCATTGTTTTTGTGCTCTATAATTTACATTATGGGCTTTTTTTCTTGTTTTTAAGATATATGGCGCTTTTCTCTTAATACTATGTGACCAGAGGTCCATTGTTAAATTTGCTTCAAAGTTCCTCAATATTTCACAATGTGTCGCCGACGAGCTGTGGAAGTTTCATTTTGAAAGTCACCATCTTTGTGGGAGAAATACATACATGCAGTCAAATGTGGTCCTAAGTGTAAACAGTTTGAAANTTTCATTTTGAAAGTCACCATCTTTGTGGGAATAAAAGAAATTAACCAAAAACAAAACGGATAAAGTAAGGAAAAAAATAAAAGTGAGGCATAGCTACGTGATCGAACAGCCCTCCTTCAACAGCAAAAAGACGGCTATTGAAATTGAAATGGGGATATTAGCTCACTGCAGAACTCCAGAAAATAATAAGCTGATGGAAAATAATTTACAATCGCTGTAGGTAATGTTCTCATCTGTTCTCGTTTAGACAATGTGGGTGCATATAGATCTACTGCCTGATGCAATTGCCATTCAGCTGGATAATACAGCAAAAGAAAATAAAAATCAATACGTTTTCTGCTTCCTTGGGTACCTCGTGGAGACGGATGTGTTCAGCAGGGTGAGAGAAATACATACATGCAGTCAAACGTGGTCCTAAGTGTAAACAGTTTGAAAGTTACGGTAAATAAGGCAGAGGCTTAACCTGCAGCGTTTAAAGTTATCCGAGTTACGCGTGTTTTTTTGAGTGAGATTAGGGCTGGCTTTTTTTGTCCGGGGAAAAGGGCGAAAAAGCGGATTTATAGAAATAGACATGTATTGACGGGATAAGGTTGGGACTTTTAAACTGTTTACTATCGTGCTCAAAACTGAGTTCGGCGATCTTTATTACTTTGCAACAATGACTTCTTCAGTATTCAGTAATTTAATGAAGTATTGTTGTATTTTTCAGATAGAAATATCCTTCTTACCAGTCGGCCATACACATATCGACGTGGACCAAATGTTCTCGCGCGTGTCGGTGGCAATTGAAAGGTTGGGCTGTCTCACTCCTCAGGACCTCCTGCGGATATTAAGAACCTGCTACACCCAATCTCAAGGGGAAACAACTCAGGAAGGAGCCAAGCCCCAGTATGCTACCTTCCCGCATCTGTATGCTGTACGGGAGTGGCTTCTCCCGTACCAGAAACAACTCCACGGATTAAACAGCTTTCATAGCTTTGTAATCGTAAAAAACGACGAAGGGAAGGCTGTTCTCCATTTCAAAGCCTGGTGTACAAGCGAGTGGGATGGGGAGCGGTACGAGCCAGTTGTTTTGTTACGTGATCTCCCTCAGGATGTGCCCGAGATAATAAAGCCAAATTATGATGCTGTGGACTTTGGCAGACTGAAAAGTATGGTAGACAAGTGTGTAAACAATGGTGTGTTTACTAATGAAGAAAAGAAAGAGTGGCTGAATTTTTTGGAGGAGGAGGAGATAACTGCCAGCATTTACGAGGACGTGGAGGAAATTGTGTACGATAAAGATGACGGTAAGTTAAAATACGCGCTCTTATTCTGCATATGCTTTTAGCCAGGACTGACTCTTTCAGAAGTAAAAAAGACGAAACTCGATACGAACGACAACTCCTGTTATATATATTAAACTAGTGCCATTTTGTAATTGGCTAATTAGAGTACCACAATTGTTTGAACATGAACAAAAAAACATACTCGCAGAATGTTTTTGTTCTGAAACTTCATAAAAAGCGATTATAAGGGGAAAATTACTTTCTATTTTTAGATGGTGCCCAGTATCACAAAAAGGAGCTCGTGTACCTACCTTGTAACGACGAAACTTGGTTGGTAGATGAGTTGCGTGAAAGGAGGAGGCCCACAGAAGGCAGGAACCTACAACTCAGCGAAGTTCTGAGAAGAAGTGAGATTTTCGAAAAAGGAGAGGGTTTATTGCCAGTAAGAACTGAAAATTGTTTACTACATGCAAAGTAGATTGATTTTCTGCATAACATTTTTCTGAAAATGTAGTAAAGCCCTTCCATTGAATACACAGGTCTCTTTATCGCGGTTTCTAATTTACTTGCATAAATAGGCCAGACAAAAGCTTGTGTCTTTGTGTATTTGTCGACTGAGCTGAGAGATGTACAAAAAAGAGAAGTGTTACTGTATCTTTTTTGGAACATCCCTTAAATCTAACTTGATGGTAAGGAAAAGTAATGTACATAAACACGTGAGGGAATGAAGTTTTTTTCAGATAGATATATAAATTCTTGAACTTGATTTGAATGTACTTCAAAGAGTGCTCAACTCGTAGAGGAGCATTGACAGTAATAATAATAAACTGGTTCATACCCACACGGGTAAAAAAGATTATCCGTTTGTTACTGACTTAACGATTTATTACAGGTTTATACAGGAGCTTACAGGCGACCAGGGCAAGTGGAAAGAGAAGTTATTCGCAATGAAAGCAGAGATACCATTAGTGAGGGGATGCTTGTGGCGCTGTCACTGGTAATCTATCGTGAGAGACCGCTTATTGGTAGAGTCGACGAACTGAAAGACCAGACACTTAAGATAACATGGCTTCATGGTCACTGGACGACGTCATGGTCAGTCTGTAAACGACGTGAAGGCCAGAGACATATTGAGTGGCAGGAAGAAGTTCCGAAAGCAGCTGTTGTTCTAAGAGTCTGTGAGATGCCACGAGAATCATTTCCTTCACGAAAAATTATTCCCCCGATAAATTCAGCAATGTACAAAGACCATAACCCTATTCCACGGCTACATTATACATTACACGGCTGTTTAGTGATGTCGTTCATAAAGTGTAGTGCGACAGCAAGAGGTGAAACATTTAATATGTGCTTTGAAGGGGCAAAGCGAGCAAACAACGACGCCAAAAAGGTTTTATAACACTTTATTTCAAACTTTATTGGTATCTCGGAAGGTACTGGTATTAGCTTTTTCGTGGAAAATGTCCAACTGAATGAAATTCGTACCAGAATTTCCGGGTTTTCCGAACAAACGTTAAGCGCTCGTATGTTTATTTCCAGTGGATTAAATTTCAATCAAGAAATTTGCATAAAGTTGTTTTCGGAAACACTCTTGCATGAAGTCAGCCTTTTCAATTTTCAACATTCGGTAGATTACTTTGCAAACGAGTGATTCTTTTTTACAAACGGATAACGGCAACCTTTCAAACGGCTCAGAATGCATGTTGTTTTGAAATGGACAGATCGCGCTTACCGATGGAACTGTTTGAACCCATGACGATTTTATTCGAATGGTTGGTCAAGCTGTTCGAATGACGATTATTTTCGAACGGGCAGCCGTAAAAAAGGTCACATTTGAGTTTAGCTTGTCTTGTGTCAGAAAATACGCGTACCTCGTTTTAATAAGTCCATAAATTATTGTTTAGGTTAAACTCTCAGCTAGAGGCCGAACCCTCCCGTTTACCACTAAAAACATCTTCGATTGCTGAAATGTCTGTCATGTGTACCTGAAATTGCTTGCGTAAAATCGTAAACAAATATTGTCATTTCTATTCGGGAATAAACCATTGAATGAAACACCGCAAAAGACATAACTTAAACCTTTATTGAAAACGATCCACGTGTGCAGTTTTCGCAGGTACTCCAGATTAATGCTCCAATTGCAACAACATGAAATACCGTAACGATAAATTAGATTGTAAATAATAAACAAGACATTGGCCATTAGAACACGATAAAAATATTAGTATGTTAATGTTAACAAACTCTTGCTAGGTAGTGTGTGTAGCGAACATGTAGCGAACTCGAACGTAGCGAACCCGACAAGTAGCGAAACCGGCGTAAACGCTTTGTACCTCTCCAACAAAATAAGTCACATCTCAACGGCCGCACTTTTTTAATCTGTGATTACTGTTGGTATTTATAAAGATTTTATCCAGTTTGTTGTTTAGTAGTGTCTTTCAATGTAATTTGTATGGCTGCTTGAAATTGATAAATTTATGAGTCATTTGTAGA